AGTGTAGTGTTGAACATATATAACAAATGACTCCTTTAAAAGTTCTCAACATCAAATATCAAATCCTCAACATCTAATACTAAAAAGCCCCCAAAAGAAAATAAGTGAAGAAACAGCTGGAAATCAACAATAAATTGCCAATACAATACTTAATGCGTAAATATAATCATATATATATATATATGAATTGAATATTAATTCAAGTACCAGACTGTGAGCATTGGCTCACTTCCACATAAAAAATTGGGTAAAATGCAAAAAAATAAACCTGAACTATTGGGGTATTGCAACTAACCCCCCGAATTACAAACCCCCCCCCCCCCCCCCCCTCCCCCCCAAACTATGCATTTGTTGCAATTTACTCTCTGAGTCAAAATTCCGATACCGAAAATGCCAAAAGACCATTGTACCTAAATAAAACGACACAATTTAAGGCTAAGGAAATCTGCAGTTGCTAATGTGGAAAGGGCAATCTAAAGGACTAATGAAAAGGCGACAACAAGGCAATTGTGATAAGGCTATAGATATATTCCCTCAACCACACAACCCCAGTGGCGCCATTTTCTGTCTTCATCAAGTAGCAGTTGTAGAGTTTTGCAAGTCCTCGATCTCTTGACTAAAACATTAACATCTCTCTTGGTACAAGTGTTGAAGCCTACATCAATAACTCTCTCACCCTAAATAATTGATTGAAATCATTTCTAAGTTGAGTTTGTAGATGAATTTTTGAGTAGTTTTATAACCATTGTCGTTGTTTTCTTGGTATATATAAAGCATATTTTTCATTTTGAAAGGATTCGAAGTCTACATATGATGTTGATGTTGTTGTTTTCAAGTAATTTTTCGATGCCTTTGTGTCACTTAATTTTTAGTTTTTTTTTTTTTGCCTTTTTCTGTTGATGACTTGGTTTCACCTTTTTTCTACCTTTTTTTTGTCGAATGTTGTCTGCCTTTGTGTTGCTTAATTTTTAGGTTTTTTTGTGTCTTTTTCTATTGATGTAGTTGCTTTCAAGTCTTAATTGTGCCATTATTTTTTGTCAAATGTTGTCTGTCTTTATGTTGCATAATTTTTACCTTTCTATGTTTTATTATGTTGATGTAGTTGCTTTCAAGCCTTTTTTCTGCGATCTTTTTTTTTTTTTTGTTCAAATGTTGTCTCGATCAGTAAACTTTGTCTTCATGAAACAGTATAAAATTATTCATGTCATTGGTGGTCCCTCTATTGAATATGTGTTTTTTATGCTTTGTAGTGGTTAGGTAGTCCTTGTGTATAAAATTTTGTTAGTTGTCATTTATTGAATTGTCTTTGTTATATGAATGTTTTTTTACACCTGTTCAGTGTATGTGCACACTTGCTGATAATAATTTGTCTGTACACTTAATGATTGAATTGATGGTCTGTACATTTATTCACTGAGCCCACTTGTTTATTTAATTATGTTGTTATAGATGGATGGTAAGTACACCATTGAAGTGCATCATAGGGGTATTTTTGAGAAATCACACCCTATGACATACATGAGAGGAAAAATCTCAAATTTTGATAATGTAGACCAGATAAGATGTCCTTTATTCAGATTCAAGGATGGCAACTCAGTTGGGATATGGGGAGGTCAGTGAAGTGTTCTACAAAGTACCTTATCAATGACAAAAGTTTAATGAAGTCAAATGTGACTTAGATGTATTTAGAATGTTTTATAACCATGAAGCCCATAAGGAAATCAACAAAATTAAGTTGTACATTGTTGCACCAATCTTGTTGAATGAACCACCAAATGAGGATATCTTAGGTGAGGATATCTTAGGTGATGATGTGGGCTGGCGTGTAGGGTGGGATGAATCAGACCCATTGCTCCTGCGTCAAGTCCATATGGTCCTAATGATGAGTTGATAAGCTTGAATGGATCTGATGATGAAGTTCTTGATAGTGGTTCTATGTACCAAGAATACATTCCTTCAAGGGATTTAGGAGAAAAAGAACTAAAAATAGGTATGAAATTTGGCTCTGCTGAAGATTTTAGGTTGGCACTTAGAGAGACAGCATTGAGAGGTAAGTTTGATATAAAGTTCACAAAGAATGATGGAGATAAGGTAAGTGCAATATGTAAGGCTGAATATGGTTGGAGAATATATACAAGTAAAACAGAAGGTGAGGATTGTTTAATAGTTAAGACATATGTGCAAGACCATGCAAACTGTCTTTGGTTTCATAGCAATGCACAAGCCTCATCATCCTTTATTGCAAACAAATACTTAGAACAACTGAGATTGAACCCAAAGATGCCTTTGAGTACACTTAAGAGCACTATTGCTTCTGATTTGGACATTGATGTGTCCAAACACAAAGTGTATAGGGCTAAGAGGAAAGCATTAGAGATGATTACTGCAGTTTAATATGAAAAAATGAGAGATTATTGTTAAATTGCAAACTGAGCCCACTGGTGTTGAGAATGAGAGAAGGTTTATGAGGGTATTTATCTGTTATGATGCAATGAAAACTGGTTTTAAAGAATGTTGTAAGCCTCGTATTGGTGTGGATGGTTGCTTCCTAAAGGGACCATATGGTGGCCACCTTTTGAGTGCAGTGGCCAATGATGGAAATAGACAGATGTTTCCAGTGGCAATTGCAGTTGTGGAGTCTGAGACAAAAGATTCTTGGGAATGGTTTATGGGAGAATTGATGGATGCTATAGGACCTTACCAAGATATAACTTTTATATCAGATAGACAGAAGGTACACTTTCTATTTAATTTACTTCTATTTATGTTTAAATTCTATTTTAATTTAATTTTGTGGTCTGTTTTATTCTACTTTTTTTAACACTAATTTTCTGTTTCATTTGTCTCATGTGTAGGGTTTAGTAGAAACCTTTGAGAACATTATAGAAGGTTCAAACCATAGATTTTGTGTAAGGCATCTGTATAAGAATTTCAAACTCAAGTTCAAAGGATAACAACTAAAAATAGAGTTATAGGAGGTAGCAAGGGCATATACTAAAGCAGACTTTGAACAACATATGAGGAAAATAAGGGACTTAAATGTGGAAGCTTATGAGTGGTTAAGGAAGGTGCCAGCTGTTTTGTGGTCAAGGTCAGGCTTTACCCAAACTTCAAAATGTGATATGGTCATCAACAACATATGTGAAAGTTGGAATGTAGTTATTGTTGATGTAAGAGATAAGCCAATAATATACATGATGGAATGGATTAGGAGGCATCTAATGCTAAGGTTTCAATGCAAGAGAGAATGGATGTTATTACAACAAGGCTTGTTGTGTCTAGAAATTCAAAAGAATCTTAACAAAGTGAAACACCAAGCTAGAATGTGTAAGGTGCATTCTATTGGTGATCAAAAGTATGAGGTTGAATGCTATGGAATAAGTGAAACAGTTGACATTGACAAGAAAAATTGTAGTTGTAGGGTGTGGAATTTGACTGGCATCCCCTGTAGGCATGTTGTAGCATGCATCTTTATGAAGACGGAAGCTCCTGAGGCATATGTTCACCCATACTATCACAGAGAAACCTACCTCAAGTCCTATGCTGGTTTAATCCTACCCATTCCAATAGGAAGGTTAATGAAAACAAACCCCATTCAACCACTGCTTCCACTACACTATAGGAAGCCCACTGGTAGGCAAAAAAGGCTAGAAATAAGAAGAATGATGAACCCAAGGGTGGAACCTAACTTAGTAGGTCTAAGGAAAATTTGAAGCGTTCAAGTTGTAAGAAGAGTGGCCATAACACAAGGACCCGCAAAGCACCTGAGCCATTGGTGATTGAGAAACCTCCTCCAAGAAGGGGAGGTAGAGCACCCATTCTTGGAAGGGGAAGAACAAGAGTACCTAAGGGCATGACAAGCAGAGGAAGAGGAAGAAAGGGAGGAAGAGGGAGAGCCAGAGGAATTGAAATTCCAGCTCTAGTACCTTCAAACCAAGAGTTACTTTTAATATGATATTTATGATAATTTTCATGTTATGTCTACCTTAGCTAAGCTAACTTGTACCACTCATTTTAGGTTTTAAACATACCCTTTACACAACTGTCACAAAGTCAGGCATCATCTTCTTCTAGGTATGCTGAAAATAATCCCTTATGTTCTTTTTATGTTGGTATGACTTGTTATAAATCATAACAAATTGGTTGGTTTATTAACAGGTTCATGATGGACAGTGAGTATGCCTGTTGGTAGTGAAGACAGCCAGTAATTGCAACTTTTGTTGATGTTTTTTGTTAGTGGATGGCCACTTTTATCTACAGTCTTATTGCTGTCAATGGTTTTTGTCACTCCAAGTTGGAGTTGGAGGTTGTTTTGTTGCTGCCATGGCTCATGCTGACTTTTTGGTTATTGTATATGCTCATGGGATAGGAGAACTTTAGTTCTATTTCCATATATGTATGTTATTAAGTAGTAGTGATGTTGCTTATGTTTAGAATGGTTATGTTCTTATGTAATTACAGTGTACTTTGGTTGAACAGGCTTAGTGTCATTGAACAGGTATACTGTCATTAAACTGGTTATTTCCATAAATTTGTTTCATTGCAATTAAAGGTTCATGGTGCTCAGTCATTTGGTTTTAATGTATATTTATTTGCTTGCAGTGTGTTTTGAATGCTTTGAAAAATTACAATGTAGTTTGGTTGAACAGGCTTTTAGTGTCATTTAACATGTATATTGTCATTAAACAGGTTATTAAATTGCACTTTTAATGTGTTCCATTTGTAGTTGTCATCGAACAGGTCATTAAATTGCACTTTGCATGTGTCATTGGCATGTATTGCAGTGTAGTTTGGTTTTCACAGGCTTAGTGTACTTTGAATATGTTCCATTTGTTGTCAATGCAGGCTTGCGTTATTGCAGTGCAGTGTGTTTGTGCATAATATCACGTCAAAAGCACAACACCATGGCACTTAACATTACAGACTATGCAACGACCCGAAATTAGGGGCACAAATAAAACATAATTCGGAAACCGTCAGAATAAATTCTCCAAAAATCATCCAATTTAAAATCCATAGTCCATTCATTGTCCCAAAACACGTCACAAACAACCTCAAAATCTACATAATGGGTACTCCAAATTTCATACAAAAAAAAAAAACAAAATTCATCAGGACAAGAGTGCTGAGTTAGGAGGAAAATCTGCGCAACAACTACTTAAAAATTCGTAGAAAATTCGTTTTAAATCAAAACGGAACAAACAAAAATGATTTGAAAACTAGATTCAAAGTGAAACACAGCTGAGAAACTCACAGATGCTAAAGATTTTCCAATTAAATCAGATTTGAGAAGTAAATCAGCAATACTTAGTTTGAAGAAAACCTGGGCAGCAGATACTTCAGAATTTTTAGAAAATTCATTTGACCTCCGAAATTGACAAAGTAAATTCATTTTGACAGTAGGCTTATGAAAGAATAAATCTGGAAGTTTTGATAAAGATCCGGTGTCAAGAAGTTGGTGAAGTAATTTATTTAAATTCTTATTTCCAGCAGGTGTAAAATCTGGACAGTAGATAATCTCGAATTTTTATAAAAATATATGCTACTCTAAAAATTATGAAATTTTATGGAGAAGTACTAGATACATAAAGGAAGTTTTGGTAAAAATTTAAAAGCATTTAGAGCAATACAGCTCCTTGGAGAAATTATTTAATTTTCACAAAAATACAAAATCCTTGTTTTCTTACTTAAGCTCCAAATACAAATTTCATCACAACTACAATAGAAGGATAGGTATAACCAGTCTCTAAGTGAACATAGAATGGTTTAGATACAAATTAGGCACTTGAAATCACAAATACATCCAATTCCTCAAATAAATTCATGCAAACATTTTCTCAAACACTTTATACACAAAACTAAATGGTCTCCAATGCTATAATTTTCAGCCACTCCCAATTGTTCTCCAATGATCAATACAACCTGCAATATGGTAGGGTGAGACACAAGGTCCCAGTAGGAATAAACTGTAACAAAAGTTTCTAAGGAAATTCCAGCATAAGACATAGCCATGAAGAACATGCTTTTCAAGTATAGGAGTAATATGCAGCTCAATTACACATAAGAATGAAGCAACAACCTTCAAATAGATTCGGCACAAGGATTTTAACAATAATGACAATAATCAAGTAGTAATCAAGGGTTCTGCAAAGCAGATGAAATTGTAACACAAGGAACACTTTCATGGCTACAAAACGTAAAATAGGGAACCAAAATCACCAAATAAACAAATGTTACAGTAAACCCTACCTCAATCATGCTAGAAAAGGTGAGATAATGATGGAAATGAACATGCATAAGGTGATAGTGAGAGGCTGGTGGAAATCTGGCCAGCACTTCCTTAATCCTTTCTTCCCTTTATTTTCTTCCATGGCTGAACCTCCCTCTTCTTATTCTCTCGGTTCTGCTCCTCCTTCTCTCTAATCCTCTCTTCCTCTTTCCCTTTCCTACACCTTGGTTTCTGTTTCATGCCCCAAGTGAGGGACACAATTGAATTGTAAAAGCCACGGATTACTACTGTGTCTTTATGTGGGCTGATTGTGAGGACACATCATTTAAGTTTTCCTATAAGATTGCCACACGTATCTCCACTAACAATTCTTTCTTTAATTTACAAAACCTCCACCAATAAAAATTAAATCACTTTAATGTCCCAACTCTTCTAACAAGTGATAAAGACCCCAAATGATATAAAAGTCTCAAAATAAAAAAAAAAATCATCCATTAATCAAATTTTTAAGCTTAATCCAAAATCCGAGGTATTACAGACTACCACTTAAAAAACACAATAACTACCAAGGATTCTTGCAAATAGGCATTTCATTAGTCAACAACACTGTTACAAAACAGAGTTTGGCATCATCTTCCTACATAACATCCAACTATATAACCCAAACCTCCATAACATCATACACCCAAACCTCCATATAACATCATACAACAACCAAAACAGTCTTAACCTACATTTCATTCACTTAAGGGCAGAGAAAGAAATAAAACTAAAATAGAGAACCCAAAGAATATAATGCTTCCCACAAACATAGCCATTGCAAATGATGTGATGGAATTGAGAGCTGTTGGAGGAACTTCATCAGCCAGAGGGACAAGAGGACCAGCTTGAGGACGTCAATTGATGTTTGGTATCAAAGCAGGAGTCCCCCATTCAAAAAACTTGCAAACTCTTCTACTGCACTTATAATATAGCCTCCCAAGATTATCCGCGGAATCAGAAATGACGAACTCAGAAATGAATATAGAAGCTATCTAGCCACACCAACACCTCTTATTCATCATTCGAGGCCACCATTATCCATTATCAAGACCTTCAAAAAATTAGAACTATATATATATGTACACGATCTCTATTTGTACAGTTAAACTTGTCAATATAAAGGCAAATACAGAGAGAGGATTACCTTATATATATCTATATACCCTATAAAAATGTATTCAATTTATAATATTTATATACATTTTAAAACACTTAATTTAATGTAAAAATTATTATGACGTGACTTTTCAACTTTGCAATTTACGTTATACACTTTTTAATTCCTAAAAGTTGCACCGTATAGAATTTCAACCTTTTTTATATTACTTACCAATACACTCTTACACATACAGATTAAACTAAAAATATTAAGCATAACTAGGTTTTGTTTTTGGAGATAATTGCATTTTGTTTGAGTTATTGATATAAAGAAAAATAAAGTAAAATAAGGGTTACCAAAAATTCCTCTTTCGATTTTGACTCACCCAATCAAAAAGTCTATATATACATTTTAAAACACTTAACTAATTAGTTAAAAAATATTATTACGTGACTTTTCAAGTTTTCAATTTACATTGTTTTTTTCAAACACTTAATTTAATGTAAAAATTATTATGACTTGACTTTTCAACTTTGCAATTTACGTGATACACTTTTTAATTCCTAAAAGTTGCACCGTAAAAATTATTATGACGTGACTTTTCAACTTTGCAATTTACGTTATACACTTTTTAATTCCTAAAAGTTGCACCGTATAGAATTTCAACCTTTTTTATATTATTTACCAATACACTCTTACACATACAGATTAAACTAAAAATATTAAGCATAACATAGGCTTTGTTTTTGGAGATAATTGCATTTTGTTTGAGTTATTGATATAAAGAAAAATAAAGTAAAATAAGGGTTACCAAAAAAATCCTCTTTCGATTTTAACTCACCCAATCAAAAAGTCTATATATACATTTTAAAACACTTAACTAATTAGTTAAAAAATATTATTACGTGACTTTTCAAGTTTTCAATTTACATTGTTTTTTTCAAACACTTAATTTAATGTAAAAATTATTATGACTTGACTTTTCAACTTTGCAATTTACGTTATACACTTTTTAATTCCTAAAAGTTGCACCGTATAGGATTTCAACCTTCTTTATATTATTTACCAATACACTCTTACACATACAGATTAAACTAAAAATATTAAGCATAACATAGGTTTTGTTTTTGGACATAATTGCATTTTGTTTAAGTTATTGATATAAAGAAAAATAAAGTAAAATAAGGGTTACCAAAAAATCCTCTTTCGATTTTAACTCACCCAATCAAAAAGTTTATATATACATTTTAAAACACTTAAGTAATTAGTTAAAAAAATATTATTACGTGACTTTTCAAGTTTTCAATTTATATTGTTTTTTTCAGGTTTCTAATTTTCGCTGTTATACACCTTTTGATTCTTAAACGTTGTACCTTTAGGATTTTAACGGTTTTTGATATTTCATGCCAATACACTTTTACACCTTTAGCTAGATTTTTAATATGATTTTTTTTTTTTGAAAGTTACCTACTTAACTACTAGCACCTATTTGCAAAGCCAAAAATCTAAATAAAATACACACACTCTTTAGATAATATTCTATTTTATATATTTTGATTATCAAGTTGTCTTCTTTTAGAAAAGAGTTTCTTTTAAATTCACACACTTATTCATATTAAACACCTTTTTTTTTTCATAATCAAAGAGTTTCTGTGCGGTTCTCTATTTATTTTTTTTAATAAAAAATAATAATTCATGCCAATACACTTTTACACCTTTAGATAGATTTTTAATATGAAAAATAATTTTTTTGAAAAGTTACCTTAACTACTGGCACCTGTTTGTAAAGCGGAAAAAAAACACACATACTCTCTCTCTTCAAACACCTTTTCTATTTTATATATTTTGCCTATCAAGTTGTTTTCTTTTAGAAAAGAGTTTCTTTTAAATTCACACACTTATTCCTATTAAACACTTTTTTTTTTCATAAAGACTTTCTGTCCAGTTAAAATATATCACCTCTCTATTTATAATTTTATTTTTTTTATTAAAAAAATACGTGAAATATTTCAATTACCTAATTTTATACTGAAATATGAATGATTATTAAAAAAATAAATATGAATGGTTATGAAGAAAGTTAATGGTAAAAAACATTTTATAGTTGAATAGACCTTTCATTTCATGAATAGGTGTGTTGTAGCCTATAAATAAAATAGTAGTCCAATAAAAACAATATATGTTTTACATGTTCCTCTTTGTTTCTTTTCTAATCTTTCTTCTTTTGTCCATCCAATATACTCTATCATGATATATATATATATATATATGTATGTATGTATATATATCTTGAATTTATGATCAACATGTAAATGAAAGAGTTGATAAATGTTATTCAACGTCACAATTGTCCTCAGTCTCCTGACTCTCCAAGAGGCCAGAAATAAGTTTCTTACTGTCTCATTCTAATATGTTTTTATTAATTGATATTTTACTGGATTATTATTATTTTATAATGTTTTATTTATACTATTTATATTATGTAATAACAAAGTGTTTTGGCCTCTTTATATCTTATTTGTGTATATAATGTGTTTATTTTTTCATGTTGATTTTCTATCTAATTCTTATTCCTTTTTTGTTTAATTCTCTAGGAAATGTTGTTCTTTCATAAACGTTCTCTACTTTGCCTAATTCTTTCCAAAGTATTTATGATTCTGTTATATAATGTCTTTATATTTGGAAGAGATTTTTGGAAGTATGTTCGTTGGAGATTTAGGATAAGAATGCAAAGGTGTTTAGAAAAACTTATTAAAAGTGTTTAATGGAGTTTTATTTTTCATTATATTAAGTGAAATAAATAAGTGCATCTTATACCTTTTATGAATTTAGAAACACTTTTAATAGCAAACACTTTTAGAGAAACGAGATGGTTGACAGTTATAGATTCTATGTATGAATAAATCGTAATACTTACTCTATATAATATCTTTTATTTATTTTTAACCTTTCATTTATCTTTCATATATTCTTTTTTTTTATTATTATTACATAAATCTACTACCCTCTTACATATGTACTCTAGAGGAATTTTAATGGTTTGAAAAATAAATTTCAACTTTATTTGAACAACTTTATAGGTCTCTATATACATAATATGTTATCATACATATTGTATTCTATTCAGTCATATATTAAAAAAACAAAATAGATATATGACATATAGGTATAATTATTAAATTTTTATTGCAAGTAATGTTTGGTCATGATGTAGTGTTTAGAAACGTTATTGTTATATTCTAATACATCATATGATTTTATATAATAAATTTCTTGTAGAGTTGATTCATTAGTTTTTTTCATTGCTTTGCAAAATAAAATTATATTCTTTAATTGTTCGATAATAAATACCGCAAGAATATTGGGGTTTCCATAAAATTTTGTATAAAGAGATTTTGAAGATGATGAAAAGTATGAAGAGGATTGAATTAGTGAGTTTTAAATCCTTATTTATCTTTGAGATTAATAGTCAAATAGTACTCGAACGAATGATTGAATGATAACTTAAAATTTTGAATAAATCAAATTAATTTACTACTTTTATTCAATTATTTTAATTCCATTATAGATTTTTCTACTATTTTATTATATCTTAAAATAAGATTAAGTTATAATTACGTGCATCGCACGTGGTTCTATCTAGTATATATATGTATATATATTAACTGACATCGATAAAGAGCGAAATAGAGAAAGAGAATTACCTTATAGTCGATACAGATCTGAGATTCACAGAGAGGAGTACAACACAATAAATACAGAGAGAGGAATACCTTATATATATATATATATATATTAACTAACATCAATATGGAGCGAAATAGAGAGAGAGAATTACCTTATAGTCGAGACAGATCTGAGATTCACAGAGAGGAGTAGACACAACAAATACAGAGACAGTGTGATTAATCGACGATGAACTGATGGAACGAGAGATAGAGGATCCACGACGAATAGATAATCATATGGATTAAGAGGATTGAGGGGTATGGCGAATCAATTTAGGGGTTTTCTGAAATTATTTTAGGGTTCCAATAGTTGGGTGTACATACGGGTGTTATATATATATATAAGGATTGAGAGTTAAGGTGTGTTTGGCTGCGACGGTTATAACAGGGGAAAATTGGTCCTTTTAGATTTGTAAGGGCATTGTTGTCCAACAAAATTAATTCTTATATCAGGTGTCACACACGCGCTCAAATTAGAGACGTTTTGGCCAGATTATTGCCGAAGGGGGCAATCTGCAACAAATGTGACAAGTTCAGGGGATTTTCTGCATTTTTTGTAGTACAGGGGGTTGTTTGCATGTTCCCCAATAATTCAGGGGGGTTTTTTGCATTTTACCCTAAAAAATTATTGCAAGTACTACTGCAACTTCAAAACTAAACTAGCACTACACCATTGCTTAAAAATGACAGATTTTGGGAAGAAAAAATTTGTTTATTGATAGAGGACTTGTATCTTTATACGGTCAGTTAGGTTGCCGAATTGTTTCCTCGTCGTCTTGAAAGAAATCTCCTGTGTGTGGGTCA